AGCATCTATTTCAAGTTTGGAAATCACATCATCAATGACACTAAAATTTTCGCAATAATATGCAGCAGCTTGTAACCAAGTAATACCAACAACTCATAATATAAAACGGCGATACATTACTAATTCTGTAAATAGCTCAATATTTAACAAAAATATGTAATATCAGTAAAATATGTAAAAATATGTAATTTAGATTAAATATGTAAAAATATGTAATATCAACCATAACTTAAAATAATCAGATAGACCTGTAACATATTTCTGTAAAGGAATCATTCGAATACTATCATTCATGACAAATATGTAAATACATACAAATCAGCACCCTAGTAATAACAAATACAAAACTGAACATATTAAAATATATACTACTTATTCCTACGGGGGAAATAAAATGCTTGTTATGCAYTTAGATGTACAACAGCATATTTGCCATTAACTTGCCAATAATTAGTAGAAATAAGATAGTTATTTTCTTTATCATTTTTATCTATCTTAGTTTCATAGTCAGAGTTCAGGCCACATACACAGTCACATTTTAATGTACGTAAAGCCACTACAGCTGTAGGTTGAAAATTACACAAGGCAGCCTTGAATGTAGTTGATAGTTCCCAATTAATATCTCCAATTAGTTTTCGGTAATTTAAATCGCCTATACAAATCAAAATAAACAATAAACATTCACATTAAAAGATTTTATCCCACTTAAAGAACAAAAAAAAATTAAATATTAATTAAATTGTTTCTTATCAATAGCTTTGTGGTTTAAGTCAGTGTTTGGAAAGAACATCGTTCATGAACGCATGTTTACACATTCACGTCCATAGTTAGTGAACGATACGCGAACGTCGGTCATTTTTTAAAAATAGAACGTGAACGATGTTTATATTTTTAATGAATTTGAACGATTTTGAAGACGCTCAATTTATTTACTATTTAATAAATATAATATGATAATTTAATATGTATATAATTTAGATACTTTAGAAAATGTATATGCTCTAAAGTCTAAATTGTTTTTATTTTTGGGTTGAGACCTATATGTTTATGGGTTTTTATACAAACTGCTGGTAAACTACTTACAAACAAAAAATTATATGAACGCGTTCATTTTTTCAAAGAACGTGAACGCGTTCGTTTGAAAAAACACGAACATGAACGTGAACGAGTTCCTTTTTTAAGGGCTGAATGTGAATGTGAACGAATTCATTTTTTTAGTGAACGTTTTGAACACTGGTTTAAGTATAGTACTTCTATAACACATTAATACCTTTAAATATTAATAATTGAGAACAAGCTAATTTTTTGTATAACTCTGAATCTTCGGTGGCCATAGCTGAATAACAATGAGGTAAAGTCCAAAACTCCTCACACTCAATCACAAATTTACCTACAGCATACAATTAAAAACAAACATTAATATTTAAGCAGTTATTTTTTTTCAAAAAATCTAAAATTAAATGTTATAGTATTTACCAGTCATGTAATAATTGGTCCATCTATTTCCAATTTTTTGAAGGGCATTCGATGTGCATTCATTTTTTAAACGATTTAAGATATGTTCAAAATCTGGTTTTGTCACATCTGAGACATACCATGGGATAGATTTGCCGTGAAAGACAACTACTTCAGCAAATCCATAAGTAATAAAAAAGTCCGCCAAACACATATCCGTAAAAAGTTCATAACTTGAATTGTCCAAAATAATATCTGAAATAATTTCATTAATTTAAATTGATGATATCATATAATACAATAGTACAAATACAGAAAAAAAACAATAGACTAATCAGAATAAAATTTATTTTAATTAAACAAAAACATAGCTTCAACAATATTTTATAAAATATCATTATTTACCTATTGTCTTATGATTTTTATAATTTGAAACATTTAAAGTGTTCCAAATTTCATTTGAATGATCAGTCAAAATATACTGATCCAAGGACACAATAGCTTTTAACGGATCCTCAGTAATGTTTTTTGACTTTCCAATGTTAAGAGACAAATCAAATCTATTTCCCCACAAACAAATCTGTAAAAAAAGGTAATTAGTTAATGAATATGCTGAMCTACTATTTAAATGTAAGAAATCATTAAAATATTTTTGGTAACATTTTTTTTTTTTTGTCATTACATTAAATATAAAAATTAAATCATATTAACACACTTTTAACATTTGTATAAAAAGTATTTTCAAACTTGTACTGTCTAATTCTTCCTTGGAAAATTGGAAAATTAAAAATTCTGCTATAGCTATCATAGTTGTCTCAGATTCATCAAAAGCTTTGTACTTAAGTGTTTTAAAAGGRTCATAATTTTGTAACGTTTTCCTGTTTAGGCAAGCACATTAAACATAATTTATTTTAATGAATGTATGTGTGTTTATTCATTTTTTTAACTTACATTTTTTCACAAATCTCTTTTATTCTGATGTACAAATAATTCTCAGTAAAAAGCCATTCTGTATCAAACCATGTTACAACAGAATCTGAATTAAACTTCTTTACTAGTATTTGATTCCACATCAATGCCAATGTAGAATTACTATCAATTTTTCGTAGAGGATGGTTGTTCAGTATTTCAAATAATAATAGTTCCAATTTGTCAACAACACTGTTTATTTCTTCTTTGTTTGACTTAAAAAAAAAATTGTAAGCATACATAATGAATCAGTACCTTTAATAGTTTTAGTATTACTTCATACAGTTTTAGTTAAACAATACCTAACTAAGAAACAATAAAGAAATTAAGTTCTTACTGAATTTAACTGATTGGCTTTTAATAAACCAATTATTTCAGAAAACATGGTTGGCATTCTATGCATTAGAGAATGATAACCAAAACTTCTGTAAAATTAAATACAAGTTTAAACATAAATCATAGATCTGCAAT